TCTTCTGGCCTCTGCTCCCACATATCTATGGCATTCGCTCACACATACACATACATAATTTTTAAAGAGAGAGAACTTGGGTTTCAAATAATATGGATGTAAACATCTATCAATTTGCTAAGGAGTAACCAAATAATTCACAACAAAATTGTGACATTACCTAGTTATCAATAATTGTTAAGAATTTGTAGAAGTTAAATAATTATTGTGGTGGTTTGAATAAGAAATGTCCCCCACAGGCCCACGTATTTGAACACTTGGTCCCCAGTCTGTGGCACCGTTTAGGGAGGTTATTGAAACTGTAGGAGACTGCCTTGCTGGAGGAAGTGTGTCACTGGGGCTTTGGGGGTTTATAACCTCACCCCACTTTGCCCTCTCTGCTCTCGGGGTGCAGTTGGAGAGGTGCTCTCTCAGCTTGCTTTCCCCACCAGTATAGACTCTCCCTTTGGAAACATGAGCCAAAATAGACTCTTCTGTAAGTCACTTTCGGTCATGGTACTTATCACAGCAACAAAGAGTGACTAATACAATTATAAATCAAGAATAACAGCTGAAGGCAGAGACCAGCTGGAAGCATCACTATTGCCCTTTATAAAATTGCAGGATTTTGGGTCTGGAGAGATGGATCAGTGGTTAAGAGCACCAACTGCTCTCCCAGAGGTTCTGAGTTCAATTCCCAGCAACCACATGGTGGCCTACAACCCCCTGTAATGAGATCTGGTGCCCTCTTCTGTCCTGCAGGGACACATGCAGGCAGAACACTGTATACTAAATAAATAATAAAAGAGTAATAGACATGGGCACAGTGCTGTAAGGATGACAATATTTAAACCCAAACAATTCTTAAAAAAAAAAAAAAAAAAAAAAAAAAAAAAAAAAAAAAAAAAAATTCCCACTTGAGGAGTTTGGTTTCGGTCTTTTCCAAGACGAAGCAAGTTTGTTTGGAGCTTTAGAGGCTTCTGCTCATCGTCAAGGAGGAGCCATCAGAGGTGTTCCAACAAGTTCTGAAGTCAGAACCTCCTCAGACCAGCGATGATCAAGACTCCTGTGATGATTCAGTCTCACAGTCAGAAATGTTAGCAAAGGACCTGAAAAAGCTGACGCTCGACCCCAGGGCCGAGAAGTCTCCTTCTTTTCAGCCAGTATGT